ATATTTATTTGTTGATCAAGCTTATTCAAAACAACAGAGATGATCAACAATTTATATGTGAAGAGTATTGTAAAAATTGAAAAAGTACCCACTTAGAAAAATTGCATACCACCACTTATTTACATCACCTCAAATTTTGTATGATGATACTAATAATATAGTTCTTTTCTGAGCAGAAAGTAGTTTTTCCTGAGCGGAATTTAGTTTGGACTTTTAATAGTTGAAAAGATTGCTTTAATTTTTGCTCAAAACAATGCAAATGATAAAAATTTTATTTTACAATATTTTTTTTCAAAAAAAATAAATAAAATAATCTTTTAACTGAATTTTCTTATTCTTTATTATTAAAATGACCAAAGTTATAGGTAAAAAAAATACTGGCCCTTGTGTAGTATGTAGTCAAAATGATCCTAAAATTGAATATAAAAGACTTACTACTAATTCAATAAAAGCAACATGTAATAGCCCAGTAATTCAGAATATAAATATAAACATATTATATCTCTACCTGGAATTGATAATCAATTGCAAAAAAGGATATTAGGTATATATTTCTAAAATTTATAATTTTACCTAATAAAAATGATCCAATTTATTATTTATACACCTACTAAAAGCCTTTGCAGAAAGAATAAGCAAGTATTTCGTGACCTCACAAACATTCACAGACTTCCAATTCATAATATAGTTCAACTCTAATTTAATTTGGTTCGAAAAGATAATTAATAAATATAAATAACAAAATTTTGATCAACCAATCACAAGATTTTTAACTATGCTACACTGAAGATTTTTATATTCATACTTAGGGATGGGGACGGTTTATGTCACGTCCAGCGACGAATAATATTTTTATAATTGATCCGTGACGATTAATATACTAAATTACAGGTGACATTTATATTGCCAAAACAAGACAAATAAATTGTCACTTATAATTTAGTCACGGATCAATTATAAAAATATTATTCGTCGCCGGACGTGACATAAACCGTCCCCATCCCTAACAATAAAACAATGTCTTCCAATTCATTTACACTAAATCATAAAACAATTTCCGCGAATATACATTTATTACTTTCGAAACTATCTTTCACTATTGTTAAACAATTCCTTGCTAAACAATACTAAAAATATCTTCTTTAGATTTCACACTATGCCCTGATAACATTTCCTGGCGGATGCCCTCTTAAAGTCAGGTACATTCCAAAATTTTCTTAAATAAAATTCACTAAATATTACCTTGCTAAAAGAAAAGAAAAGAAATAAAAAAAGAAAATCATGACAAGCACAATAAACAAGCTTCAGGAGAAAAATAAAGAATTATTAAATGAAATTGAATCCACCAAATATTGGTAGACATGAGTGAGAGATTTCCTCACTGTAGTAAGAATATTGAACAAGACTAAAATTCTGAACCCTGAAATCTTGGTAATACCAATGTTCACTTTGTCTGGTTTTATTGCAGCATGCCCCATATGTCAAATTACTGACCATACATTAGTTTGCTAATAATGTGTGATCAGTGCACTTTAATATGATAGCAATGTGCTAGTACTGCACATAATTTTGAGTTTGAATTTTAGACACTGAGTGTCATACATCAGGTTCTCAAAGCTGTGATGGTGTTGGTAAAGAATCATGTATGATCTTTTAATATCTGTAAAGTAAGTTTTGTTAAGTCATCTTATAATCAATCAACCAATGAATGAACTATCATACTTCCTGTGTCTAATATTCTGACTGTACTGGTTGATGAGCATTTGTGCTTTTCAATGAAATCAATAAACCCCTTTTTAGAACATTTATTAACCAAATTTTTAAGAGGGTAAACGATTTATCAAGGTCAGTTGAATTGATTATTAAAATCGGTCAATCTTTTATATAGAGACTAGAAATAAGAAATAGCACAAGTTGGGAAATGAAATGGTGGAAAGAAAAACTTTTTTTTCCTTCACCTTTAGGTTCCTTGACTAACTTTAAACAGATGATGAACTAGAAATATTCCTTCTGTCAAGTCAAGAAAAATCAAATCTTAGAAATTTATCACATCAATGTGTTCATCATCATTAAGGCCACCCGGGTCATCTTTTTATACCTTCAGTGTCTAAATAAATTTTTGGTGCAATATTGATGATCTACATAATACTGTCCAATTTTATATATAAGTATTTCCATCGTCGCACGAAAACGTCATAAACCAATTAATTGGTCATATATATAAATTTATTGACAAGCAAATCCATTAGCATCGTTAATTTAATCGAACCTCGGCTTGTTTTCATTATTTTAAATGCTTTTTATCAAAGTAATATTTCATTATAAATCTATTATCAAATAATAAATGTGGATTTTTAATAATGTAAAGCTTTTATTGATCGTCTGAACCAACTTTTCCAAATACTGGCTGACATTATTAAAAAAAAATTTCTTTTTACAAGGGTACAATATTTTTTGTGCCGGGATTGTGTCTTTTACCCTGATAATTTTTATTTTTTTTTTTTGAGTTTTCCAACATTCTCGTGATCATAAGGACAATGTCTACAATTATTACCACAACAATAACCTCTTTGTTTATGATATAATTCAGTCATTACTGTGTAGGAAGTTTCCGGATCTATATAAGTTTGTTGATTATTCTAATAACAATAACGATGACGATGATGATAAATAATTTAAAATAATTAACAATCATTTATTAATAATTATTAAAATTAAATTACTTGAATAGCAATTTGATGCGCTTTATACCAAGCAGGTAATTCTTCAATATTTTTCAATTTTAATTTATCATCATCTTTATCATCTTCAATTAATCGATTTGATTTATTATCAGAATCATTAGGAGCATCATCTCTATCATCATTATTATAATTTGACATTATAAACTTTCTTTTTCTTTTTGAAAATTTATAATAAGAATTAATTGGATTAGTTTTAAAATGTTTAAAATGTCGAGTCGTATAAAAAAAAGGAAAAAAATTTATCATCATCAATTTTTTTTTGTATGAAACAAAAGTTGTGCACAACATTACTAATATTTCCTATATTGGATCCGTAGATTAGGATGACAATCCGAATATCCGTTCATAATAATAAAATGGCTTTTTCCACTGTTACTGTAGAAATTAAGTTACAAAATTTATTGTTATAATTCTAAATAATAAAATGCCAAAGTAAATAATTGTATTATATTTATTTTCTTCTATTATCGATAGTGTTTATTCTTACAATTTTAAATAAACCATTTTTATTATAATGTAATAGAGAACATGTTAGCATTGGGAAGCGCGCAGTTGTTTGTGCAGATATTGAATTGAAAGGAGATGTACAGATTGGTAGATTTTCTTTATTTTTTTAAAAAAAAAGCTTTTTAATTAGTTACAATATAATGTTTATTGATTATTGCTATTATTACTAATTGTTAGGTCCAGGTATATTTAAACATAGAATCATCTATTAGAATAGTTATATAAAAAAATAAATATAAAATACACACACACACACACACATATATACACATTTAGGTACAATTTTACATCCTCAATCCAAAGTTCTTGCTGAAACGGGTCCAATTATTATTGGTAAAGATAATATTATTGAAGAAAGTGTAGTAATTATCAACAAGTATCTAGATATTATTACAATTGATTGTGATTATGATTATTGTTATAAAAATTATCATTAATTTTTTTATATTTTGTGATAAATTTTTTAGAAATTCAACACCATTAATTATTGGAGACGAAAATGTTTTTGAAGTTGGATGTTGTATGTAAAGGAAATTTATTTAATTTACTTTAAATCTATACATATATTACATTTTTTGTATTATTTAGATGTAGAAGGAACAAAAATTGGAAATAAAAATATAATTGAAGCAAAAGGTAAAAAAACATTCGTTGATTTAAAGGTATTTTATTACAAAAACAACCACTTATTTATTTTTTTGGTCATGTAGCAAGAGTATTGGGTAATACATCATTAGGTGATAATTGTGTTGTAGGAGCAGTGTGTTCTACCAAGCAAGATGAAACAATTCTAGATAATACTGTAATATATGGGGATCACCATAACAGAAGAACACAGACTGCTGTTTCTAATGTAAGCAAAGTTAATCAAATCATTTTGTATTTCAAATTCTTTCATTATATGAAGAATTTTAAAATATTCATTATAATAGCAACAAATTGGTCTACATGCACGTCATTTGGAATATCTTCGAGAGGTAAACTATTTTATCAATTATTATATGAATTATTATTATCAATGAATTAATACGTTAATTTTTTAATTTAAAAAAATATTTTTTCAGATGCTACCTAAATTTAATCATGTTAGGGTAATTATTTGTAAAAATATAGTTTTTAAATATATCTTCACCAAAAATTATTTTTAAAATAACAATTATAATAATGATGATGATGATGATGATGATGATGATGATGATGAATAGGTTGGTAATACTGAACCTTCTCCATCTGGTCATTCGTCTGGCGGTGGTCATTCGTCTGGCGGTGGTCATTCGTCTGGTGGTGGTCATTCGTCTAGCCATCCTTCAAGAAAAACCAAAGAGATTACTCATGCAGCACATTGAAATTTTTATTGAAATTTTTAAAAATAAATACTTTTTTGAAAAATTTTTTTTGTATTTTTAAAAAAAAAATCAATTTTCTTTATCGCCATGAAAATAATTTTCCCACGGGTTCAATTATCGATCCAGAAGAAAATGTAAATATAAACACTTCTAACGATATTTTCAGCTCAGGTATTGAACTGTTTTCAGAGAAAGAAAGTCTTACAGGTGAAAACATCAAAGAAAATTGGGATTCTGATAAATCAAGTAAGCGTTAAATTAATTACCAGGATGATTTGAACTCCATCAAAAACATGTGTGTCATTCATTAATGAGCCAAAAAACTTCAAAACAACTATGAGAATGTTAGAAATCAAATACACCCAAACGTTTTAATTAATCTATTCTTATGACTGATATATAAAAGTCAAGCCTTATACCAAACCAAGGTTTCCGACTCCAAATGATTTTCGTTGGTGATGTTGTACAATTGTTCAATTGCATCAGTAAAAAAAATTTTTTTTTTCTTGGACATAAAATAAAATGATAACTAGTGGAATTATTTCAAATGTTGGTGGTTTTGCTATATTTGGATTTAGCGTTCGAGTATTCGCTTTAGCTTTACAAAATAGACCTTTACTTGACAGTAAGTGTGATTGTTTTCTATGATAATAATAATAATAATAACAGCATTATCATATCTTTTGTATATACGAATGAGTGATTGTGCACAAGAAAACCACGATTAAAATGATGACAATATTAATAATAACTGTTTTATTATTACTTTTTTATTACTTTTTATTGTTAATTGCTACAGGACCAATAACTCATGTAATGTCAGCAGTAGTATTTGGTGGTGTTGGTGCTTATGTTTATCATTTAGAACAAAGACAATTGGAATTGATCGAGAAGCGTAAACAAGTTTTATTGGAAAATAGAAAACGAAGAGAAGAATTTGAATTGGTTAGAAGAAAAGGCTTACAACAACATTAAATTATTATTATTATTATTATCATCGTCATAATCATCATCGTCTTGAATAACTTGAATTTGAATGGATTTATCATCATCATCATCATCGCCATCATATAATACAATTAATTATTAAGTAATTAACAATCTGTTTTAAAACTTTTATATTCCTTGAATTCATTTCTCATTATCTTAACTTAATAATATGGGTCATACCAATCAAAGTGAACATATGTCAAAAATTTCAGAGTCTCATCCTAATAACATGACAATGACCTTTGTTCCAAAAACGCAAACTCGTACTGATTCTCAAGCACAGATCTTCCTTTCTTTCGTTTAATTGCTTTATTTCCCATTCACATTTTCGCAAATAATAAAGTGACCGAAGTGTCTCTTTTTGTAAATGAGCTTTATTTTTAGCTAATTGTCTAGTTTGGTTCTAGACAAATGTCAGCAATAGTTCTTTAGTAAGTCTTCTGCTTGTAGTTTTTATAATGAAAACTATTCCAAAGATATTCACATAATAACAAGTCGAGTATTATTTGGTGCCATAATTTGCGAAACACGTCACACTTCAAGGAGTTCAAATTGCCATCTCCTTCAAGATCTGCAAGAAAGGCTCCATGAATTGATTTATAGCCCATTTCTGCTGGTAGGAATATGATCGAGTTAATCTATTTACATTCGTCCTGGGCTTGGTAGTTAATGAACTTTTGTATAATTTAAGAGAAATTCTTCGGTAGCAACATTTTTGTCAATCATCATCCTTGTTTTTCATTGAGGCATTCTTTTAATATTACCATGGACTCTTGATATAAAACAGTTATTTGTTAGATGATTCCCTGATATTTTCAAAACAAGTTCTACTTATCCGTAGCATTTTTTTGACAAAGAAGTGTGCTGTGATCTTAGAAATAAAAAATCCTCTTTATCGACCCAGCTTTCTTTTTGAGGTGCTAGTACTTACTGATCCACAGATTTGATTTAAAGAGAGCTTGAAAAGATTCACAAAAATGTTATATATATAAATTCTCTCATGTTCCACATAGCTCTGTGCAACTTTTCTTTCTTAGTATTAGCATTATATTAATATGTGTGTTTAAAGAAATTATTGAATATATCAGGAAATACTATCCTGGGTTATCTTTTTTTAAAAGAACAACATTCATTTTTTTAATATAATAATAAGAATTGTTATTTTTATTTTTTGGGGTTTCCCTTTGGAGAAAGGCAATTCTTTTTTTTCCTCTATATAGTAAAAAAGTGAACTTTATCAAACCACTTGGGCATTAAAATTGAAATTTTTAGAATTTTTAGCCAACCGTCAAATTTTATTGGAGGAGGATATTTATTAAAAAAATATAAAAAATTTTCCATTCAAATTTATAAATTATTTCCATTATTTTTTATTTTATTTTAAAATTTTTATTTTAATACATAGAGTATTGATTTAGTTAGTACCGTAAAGTTATTCCATTATACATATATATTAATAATAAAAAGAACAAAATGACAGATGACACAAAATCAAATTCATCACCTACACAGATCAGATTTAAAGTAGCTAAATCATATGGTAGGGCTCAAGTTCAACGAAGGAAAACCATTCAGAATTTCTACGAGTTTGTAAGTTTTATTAGAAATAAAAAATATTATATATATATTATATATACATACACTATTATAATAATATATATATATATATATTTTATATAAAATGTCAACTTTTTTTATAAGCAAAAAAAATGTCTCGAACTATCTGCTGAATACTATCAAGGTATTGCGAATTTACTAGAAGAGACAGACGTTTCACTATTCCTTGCGCCACCAACACCAGGGGCAGATCCTCTAAACATCATTAACGAGACAGGGATGGTTATGAGTGGTATGCTTGGCCCAGGATATGTTGTTAACGACAGATTTATCGGTGGCAAATTATTAAAAAAAAGAGTTTATGGGGAGGATGTCGAAGTGAACGATAACAATAGCGAAGAGGCTTACTATTCCGAAAATCAAAAGGCTAAACATAGACGTGCACCACGACAACTTTGGTCTGATGAGGAGGTGGAACGATTGAAAGCTGCTCATGATCGATACAACGGTGACTGGGAATTAATCATTAAAGAATTTGAACCTGAACGAACTAGGTAAACATATAAATAACATATAAAATATAACAATCTTTATTATTCTGTTTTAACATAAATTACTTTAGAATTCAAATCTTTCAGAAGGCACGTCAAATGGGACTTCGTGCTGTTGAATCCGGAAAAATCATTGATTTATCAAGACCAAATACTATAATTGAATATAACAACAATAATATCAATAATAACAATAGTAGTAGCAGTAGTAATATTAATAATAATGAAGATGGTTCACGAATAGACAATGAAGGCGAAGAAGATGAGGAAATTGAAGAAACAATTAATTTTGAGAATAGTAGAATTGAAATTAAAAATGAAAAAAATTATACTGATCCAAAAGAAAATAACAAAAAGAATGAGGGTTGACCCAAGTAGAAATTTAAATCAAAAAAGAAACCTATTAATTCACTTTTTTCATTTGTCATTTTTTTTTATAGATTTATTTTGTTTTTTTTATTTTAATGATTATAATTTTTCCCAATTGTATATATTTCGTTACCTGCTTTTTTAAAAAATTTTACTAGGTATTATAATATAAATATATTTATAAAATGTTTTTTCCTTATAGATGGTTTGATATTAAAAAAAGATTTTTTAATCTCGGTGGTAGATTTGTTTAAAAAAAAAAAGTTATTTTTCTTCTCTAATATATATGTATATATATATATATTCACCCACTTCTATTATCACTGCTACTATTTTAAATTATCATATCTCTCATTCATTCAAATACCTTTTTTTTCTTACTCAATCTATTAGACGAACATTATAATTACAAAGTTGAAAAATAAACAATAATACTAGATAAAAAAAATTTCTCTTTAATAAAGACTTTACAATAATCATACATACATACATACATACACATATGTGTATATGTATAAATAAATACAATTAATTAATTAATTAAATCTAAAAATAAACTAAAATTTCATTTCAATAAATAAAAAAAAAATAAATAAAAAGAACAAAATCTAAAATATTTATATAATATTTGAATCATCTGTTTCTTCATTATTGCTATTATTGCTGTTATTATTGGTGCCACTACTATTTGCACCACCATTATTATTATTACTACTATTAGCATTGTTGTTATCAATGTTGTAATTAATATTGTCATTGTTTGAAGTTTCAGAGGGAAAGGTGTTTGAAGACAATTTGGATGGAAATACTCCAGGCGTGGGTTTCCAATTATATTTACGCCCTTCATTATATATGTCTTCTAAAACTTCTCCAAACTTACCTTCTGATTTAAATTGAAGATACTTTTTATAAATCAATAATGCCTACATATTTGTATATATATGTGATGTTATATTTTTGAGGAATAGATTTATTTACAAATAATAAATTATATAATTAATAACATACTGTTCTTGCATCTTCAATACTGTCATGAGCCTCCGTTTGTATATCTTGATTAAGTAAATACCATGCTAAAAATCTTAACGATATTTTCCTAAATTATATACGTATATATTCCATACAAATATATTAATTAATCGCACTTTATGATTATTTATAAAAAAATAAAATTAACAACATTGACCTTTGTCTATTCTTAATATGAAATATATCCACCGTATCAATAACTTGTTGAGGGGGTACTAAAATATCTATAAATACCAGATAAACAATCATCCCAATTAATAAAGTTTTATAAATATATACAACATTTATTTACTTACTGATAATTCTAAAATCTTTTTTTAGCCCATGTCCAACAAATATACAACCAAGGTCAAGAAGCAATCTCAATTTTTTATATGCGACCTGGAAATAATAATAATAAAGTTCGTGAAAATAAAATTATATATGGGCTTCAATGAGAAATTTAGTGGTTTTTAAACTTTTTAATTTTTAATTATAATTTTTCCTTGGTTAACTTTTTTTTTTTTTAATAATAATAAGCAATTTAAGTAATCCATTTACTAACCTTTAAGGGAACCAGTGTATGTTTAGAGGTGTTAGGATCAAGATCTTCGGCTAATAAATAAATAAATTGATTGATTAATAAAATCAATTTTTTTAAAAATAATAACAAGAAGAGTTTTTTACTAATGAATAAACTTTAAACCTTGTATTCCAGAGTACTCGGTCAAATAATCTACAACAGGCTCTAATGTTGCAATATAGTCATCAATAAACGGAATTCCTTCTTTTGATCCTTCACAACGTAGTACACTAACTCGTGCTAATGAAAGTCGGCTTGGGCGAATGACTGATTTTGTACCATCACTTCGAATTTCTGTTTCTTCCTATATACATATAAGTTTGTTCATTATATAATTGTAAGATAAATAATTTATCAACCAATAAATTTAATTTACCCTATTTAATGCTACAAATTCTGCATCAATTGCCACCAAAGTGCCTGGTTGTGGTAATTCTTCTGGAGTTAATAATTGAGAAGATTTTTTCTTTAAACGGTGTCTTATAATTTAAGTAAATGCAAATAGGTAAATATTGTGTTAAATAGCCAAATAAAATTTTTTTTCTCAATAACTACTTAAGGTAACAAACACACTTTGCTATCGAAATATCTTTAAATAGGATTGTTTTGTCAATTTCTGAAGGTAATGCACTTGTATCCATTAAATCATTAATGTCTATCCTTGAAAAATATAATAATACCGGACACTATTTAAAAAATTTTCGAAAAATAAATATCATTATTAGAAAATGGATATAAAGTAATTAATGAAACAATTATAATTAATTATAAGACTTATTATTATTTACTTTCCAAGCTCCCTGAAAATTAAAAACTTCTTGTTCTTTTACATTTTTTACTAAAAAGTCATTGAAAAGATACCAAGGACTTTTACTGGAAGGATCTGGTTTATTTTCTAATTTAAATATCAAACACATATTGTGTTTATATGTAATTATTTATATATTTGAAAATAATGTTGCTGTTATATATATATATATATTCTAACCTTTTACAAACGCAACAAGATGTGGCATTTCTTTTTCAACTTTAACTTGAGCAACAATCGCCTGTTAAACAATTAATAATTAATACATTGTATTAACACATTATTGGTATTATTATTTAGATTCTAAGATAATTAATTAATTAACCATAAGCTCGTAATTAGCTAAAGTTGCACTTCCAGTAGAATTAACATCAACTACGGCATCAGTTGTCAATTCTTTTATAATTAAATCGTCGTCATCTATTTTCATAGAAAGTCTAACCACAGCAATAACATTGTTAAAAATTAAATTTCTAAAAGAATCATCTTATAAATTATTTTCAATAAAATAAACGAATACCTTTTTGGTAACCAAGATTTATTTCCCTCAATGATTCTCCAGAATTCAACTGGTACTGAATTACCAACTCCACAGTTGACTGTCAACACAGGTGGAAGTCCTTTAGGTATTTTCTTGGCAATAGTTGGCACATATTGTTGACAATTGTTACACCAAGCTTTAGGTTGCATTTCACGCTTTATACTTCTACATAAAATATCTACAAATGATTTTCCAAATGATTCTTTGTTTCCTTTTGAATTATGCTATTTAATATAAATTATATATGCATTTAATATTTTAATATTTCTAGCAAACAAAAATTTAAGAAGTTATTTTTTATTACTTTAATGTAATGCTGCAAATCTACAACAAATGGCGTTGTGAGACGCCTAGTAACAGTTTCACATTGACATTTGCTAATAAAGTCCATATGCATTCCAAATAATTGTTGAATCATGGATAAGTGTGTTTGTTCCAATGGTAAAGATTTTAATATTCTTATGTTATTCTCCGAGTTACATTCTTGATGAAGTTGTTCCAATATAAATCTATTGAAATTTTGAATAAGCATTGAATATGGTGTTTTTTCATCTGGCTCATCTGGCTCAAAAAGTCCAAGCGCCAATGCTGACAAAAAAAAACAATTATTGAAACAATTATCATTTTTGGAAAATATTCAACCAATTGTTCATCAGTTGATTTATTTTATTACCTTGTGGAATTGTGCTAAAAGCTTTCAAGAAATTAGAAGCTTGGCAATTTCTTCCCCTAGCATTTTCTAACATTCTAAATAAGAATCCAAGTTCACAACAGAGACAATTTTCTTTTGGGCAAGCTGTACCAATATGTGAATTTGTTATTGATCTTAGAACTGGAGTAAAGAATAGCACTTGTAACAATGGATTACAATATGAATTTGCAATATGTGTCTCGAGACCTGCATAATGTGTCTTGTTATAAAACCTAAAGTATATATTTTTTGTAAAAAATTTTAGATTAAACAAAAATATCAACTGTTTAGAACAAGAAGAATATTCCTTTGATTTTTTATATGAGAAAAAAACAAACTCAAAATCGAAATCTTCAACGCCAAATCTACTATATTTAATTTCCACTCTTTTATAATATTTAGGCATCCTTGTACTAGTTGCATCAAGTTCTGTCTCGTCATCAAATAATGATGCCTATATTAAACAATTATATCTATATTTATTAATAAACTACAAAAAAAAAAAAAAAGACATGCCATAGAAAGAATCAAGTAGTAAAAAATTGATTAATTTACTTCACGTGATTCTTTTCCTGATTGCATTTCTCTTTCTTTTTCTGATCTGAATTTTGGTTCGCCAGCTTTGTGTTTCTTCTTAGACCAACTGTTAACTTGATTTCTTTTTTTATTGCCAGGATTAGGTGCATATCCAACAAAATCTATCATTTTCATATTGTTCAAAATATCAGTATCGATTTTTGGAGGTGGCTGACCTACTTCAAATAACATATTGGAAGGCCAAACAGAAAGTAATGGTTCTCTATAATATGGTATTCCAATAAGAGAAAGTGAACTAAATTATTCAAAAAAAAATATGTGTGTATTATTTAAATTTAGCGAGATAGTAAATAAACCAGACGTAGTAGTGATTTGTAAATTGATTAAATGTATTTTTTATTAATAAAACTAACTCATTTTCACTAATATCTATATTTGGAGGTGGAGTAGGAACAGCAGGTAATTCTATAGGATTAGAAAATGCGTTAATCTTTGAATCTTCTCGATCACACCAAAGATGAATAAAACTGGCGGAATCTCCAAAAGATAACATTTCGCCTGATGTTGAAATATCAATAGCATTAACAAAACTAGTTGTATTTGCCTTTAATGTAAATAATTTAATCAACAGTTAAAAAAAATTCTGCAGAAACAGGTTTATAAAAACCAATAACGTGAATAATGAATACCTGATAGAAATGAATGGCCGAATTATTTCCAATGTCACATACATGAAATTGGCCTGTTCGTGATACCATGAATGCTGTTGTGGAAAGTTTTGGATGCATCTTGAGGAAATAAGGTCCAGAAGGAAAAGGTATAGGAACAAGTGGTCTCATGGTTCGAATGTCATAAACTTTGACTAAAGGATCTATTACAAGATTACCATGCCTTTATCAAGCAATTTAATAAAATTATATTAATATAGTTCTTCATTGTGTAATACATTATTATAATGATTTTACATTGCAAAAAGTACCTTGATGAAAAACCACAAGTCAACAATAAATTTCCTGAAGTATCAATATCAGATATTGCTCCTGTATGAGCTTGTATTCGGTGTTCTACTTTGAATGTACGTGGATCACGCAGAGTTACCTCACCCGAAGAAGCACCACAACAAACCAACCTAGACTTTTTCATCACTACAATTTCACTTTCTGATTCAACCTATTTATAAGTCATAGATTATAGAATATAGAATATACACATGCATTTATCTCATGAATTGGTATTTTACCATATTAGGTTAAATATATGTGTGATGTAATATACCTTCTTCACTACAGTGCCCCTTGCAACATTAATAACTAATATGTTTTGTTGTTTTCCTGCAGCCAAAATTTCAGTATGTGGCATTGTAGTATATGACATACAATGCAAGTCTGTGGTATCTTCATAACTAATCATCAATTAATTCTCATTCTCATCAATAACAAATATATAGATTAAATACAATAATATAAATTTTTTTAGTATATTAAATACCTTATTGACCATTTTACTAGACCTCTACGGCTTACCATTTTTACGGTATCAGAGCTTAATGATATTACTCCACGATCACTAACCAACAACTGTCTGACATCGTTTAAATGGGCCCGGAAACTTGTATATCTGTTCATTTCACCACCAAAATAAGAAGTTACTTGGCCCTTATTTTATAAAATTGTTCTTAAATCTATCAGTTTTTTTTATTATATAATAAAAATTGGTCAAATTTTTCCAAGTAAAATAAAACAAGGAAGTAATAGGAAAAGTTTTATCTGAACTTACTTTATCATTACCAGCCCATAAAAGCTCTTGATATGGGTCAAAAGCAAGAGTAGTAATCGCAGGAGCCTCAGATAAGGCTGGGTCACAAATTGTTCGAAGTTGAAGCCAAGTATCCATGTTTTTTTTTCTTTATTTATTATTATTTAATTATATTTTACTAAAATGCAAAAAATAATTGTGAAGTTGTTGATCACAAGATCGTGTAACAGGTTTCAAAAAAATTTTTATAACATGGAAAGTAATTTCAATGACAAAATTATCATAAAAAATCTAGTAGTTAGAATTATTATTGGTGTTGATTCATGGGAGCGCGTTAAACGTCAACCTGTTACAATTAATGCTGTTATTCGTATTAACGTTTCTCAAGCCGGAGAAACAGATCATTTATCACACACTGTTAATTATGGATCAGTATGTAAGACGATCACACAACATGCAGAAGAGTCAACCTACAAGTCGCTTGAGGCTTTAGCAGATGGTTTGGCCAAAATTTGCATAAAAGAATACAAGGTACCCCAAATTACAATTCGTGTAGAAAAACCTCGTGCTTTGTTGCATGCAACTTCAGCTGGTGTAGAAATTACAAGAACTAAAGAAGATTATGGACCTATTGAAAAGGATCCAGATGCATTGCCTGCCTCGATCAATAATCATCACGATATAATTTTTGTTAAGGATTTGAAAGTTAGTACGATCATTGGTGTTAATCCGTGGGAAAGGGAGGAAAAACAAATTGTGATTTTGAATTTGACCACATATCCAAGTTTTCCTGTTAGCGCACTACAAAAGGATCATGTCACGAAACCACATAACTATCGAACAATAGTAAGAACTATCATAAAGGTGTGTGTATCTATGCCAAAAATTAATCAATAAACATTATATTTATTAATGAATGAATCGATAATGCATTTTCCATCACATTAATATTAACCAATATCAAAAATTAAAAATAAAAAGCATGTAGAACAATCGAAATATAAAACGGTGGAAGCGTTTGCTACCGCTGTTGCCAGAATAGCTATAATAGAATGTCATGTTAATAAAATCACAATTCATGTGGAAAAACCAAGTGCACTAATGTTTGCAGAATCTGCAGGAATTGAAATTACTAGAAGTAAACATGATTTCGAGAATGAAATAAGGGTCATCACACATCCATATTTGAATCCTTTGGATGATAAGGATCATCAAGCAACTTCTCTTGTTGTGAAACAAGACTCTAATATATCAGATGAGTTAAAACATTTTGCTTTTATTGCTTTGGGTTCAAATATGGGTGATACTATTGTAAATATTAATGAAGCATTGATTCAAATTGAAAAAAATCACGGCTGTAAAATATTGGATACTTCGTTTCTTTATGAGACATCTCCAATGTATATCACAGATCAGCCAAAATTCTTAAATGCTGCATGCAGAGTGAGTTTGATTTATTATTGTTGTTGTTATTACAAGTCATTTTTATGTTTCTTTTTTTCAAGTATTCAAAAAATTTTTTAAAAAAAAGGTAGCAACAAGTTTAGATCCTGAAGCTTTGCTTAAAAAGTTACAAGAAGTTGAATATAATATGGGAAGATTTGAGAAATCATATGTAAAATATGGTCCACGTGTTATTGATTTAGATATTATTTTTTATGATGATATTGAGTATTCGTCACCTAATTTGACAATACCACATCCATTAATGAGTGAACGAGAGTTTGTTTTGCGGCCGTTATGCGAGTAAGTAACGTAAAAATCATCTTATAATTATAATTATCATAATAATTATAAAATTGTTTTTGTCAAAATATAAATCTCAAGTATTGGAAAGAAGGTTGAACATCCTAAACTTTATAAGACATGTGGTCAACTACTTTCTCAACTTCTCAACTCTCAATCTTATAATTCCGATAATGTCATCAATAAAATATTACCAATTAGAAAGAGCACATGGACCTGGAACACAAAAACATTTATAATGGGAATAATAAACGTGACACCAGATAGTTTTAGCGACGGAGGTCTTTTCACCTCGGTAGATGATGCAGTTAATCATGCCGAAAAACTTGTAGCTGAAGGTGCTGATATTATTGATATTGGTGGTGTATCCACAAGACCAAATGCAGATGATGTATCTGTAGAAGAGGAGATCTCACGTGTTATCCCTGTTATAAAAGCTATAAGATCCAAAAAAGGCATGGACAATGATATTATTATTTCTATTGACACATTTCGAGCCGAAGTAGCAAAAAAAGCAATTGAAGCAGGCGCTGATTTTATCAATGATATTTCTGGTGGAAAACTTGACCCGAATATGTATCAAGTTATGGCCGAGGCAAATGTACCAGTTTGTCTTCAACATATGCGTGGCGATCCAAAAACAATGCAAAAATTAACACAGTATGATAATGTGATTTCAGATATCAGTAACGAACTTTATGAGCGTGTTCAACACGCAATGGAATCAGGCGTTAAACGTTGGAATATTATTATTGATCCTGGCTTTGGATTTGCCAAGAATTATGAACAAAATTTTGAAATTTTAAGAAAATTAAAAGAGTTTAATGGCGAGAATGGACCATTCGAAGGATTTCCTTGTCTTGTTGGACCGTCGCGTAAAAATTTTATAGGCTTAGCAACAAATCAACCGATTGCTAATAAAAGGGGATACGGAACAGCGGCTGCATGCGCAGCATCTATTTCCGGAGGTGCAAATGTTCTCAGAGTTCACGATGTTAAAGAAATGGCAGATGTTGCACGTGTTTCTGATAATATTTGGAGGAAAAAATAAATTATTGAATATTAAAAAGGTGTGAAAATTTTTTTACCGATTTTTGAAATAAATTATTTGACTTATTTGTTAAATCTCAAACTTCTGAGAGGTATAAAAGGGATCACGCCCCATTGATCTTCATATATTAATATATATAGTAATAATTAAAAAAATTCTCGACTTACCCCTAAAAAAAAAAAAAAATAATAAAAATGAATTTCCATAAATTTAATGAAATAAAAGTGGATTTTCAAAACAATAATGAGAAAAATGTAATCAAAATTACATTAAATAGACCAAAACGTGGTAATTCATTGAATTTACCAATGGTTTTAGAACTAATAGAAATTTTTGAGTGGCTTGAAAATCAATCATTGATAAGAGTTGTTATTCTGACAGGATCTGGGGGATTTTTTTGTACAGGAATGGCTTTAGAAACTGCGCTTACTAATTCACTTAAATATTATAATGATGACATTAGAGTAGAATATTTAGAATTGTTAGAAAAAGAATTTAATGACGGACAAAAATTATATAAAACGATTAAAAATTGCAAAAAACCAATTATTTCACTGATAAACGGACCAGCGTTAGGAGGTGGAATTGGATTGGTGTTTGTAACAGATATAAGGATAGCAATCAAGGACACATTTTTCAAATTTTCAGAAGTAAAATATGGGCTGATGCCATCAATCATATCACAATTTATAGTGCCGGAATTAGGTCCATTCAAATCCAAACAATATTTTATAACAGGCGAAACAATCAGAGTTGACCAAGCACTAAAAGATAATTTTATTAGTGATGTAGCAGTGGATTCAAAGGAATTGGACGAAAAATGCAATTATTATATCGAGAAATTGATTGAGAGCGCGCCTAAAAGTATTGGAAAAATTAAAGATTTAGTTAAATTCATCACTAGTAAAAATAATTTGAAAGGAGAGGCAGGAGAAGTAAAGGAAGAGTTAATTATTAAAGATTATTTTGTTAATATGATGATTTCTGATGAGGCAAAAGTTGGTTTGACTGCCTATAAAAATAAGGAAAAACCTAATTGGAATAATCATATTTTATCAAAATTGTAATTTTTATAATATCAATTAATTAAATATTTATTTCACAATAACAAAAATACAATGCATTATTATCATTATAGGCTTACTAATCAAGAATTAATAAAAGAAATCAACAAGTTAAAAGTTTCAATTAGCACAATTACAACAACAAAATGGTCAATTAGTTGCTCAAATTGAAGTTAAAAAATGACCTTGATTGAAAATAAGAAAGTAATTTAAAGAAGATTAAGGAAATTTTCTTCTGAAATTAATTCCAACTATCAAAGAAAATGGTAGTATTTTAAAGATTTTTGCTTTTTATTACTGAATTAATCATTTTGCTAATGACGAAACGAATAAAAAATTATTAAATCATCATTACTAAAATAGTAACGATGACCCTTAATATCACGTGAGATCGATAGATCGACCGACTTATTGAATTTTTGCCGAGTTAGCCAAAACCGATTTATCGAGTGACTGACTTATCGAGTTTACATATGTAATTACACTCACTTTATTATTATTCAAACATGTCTTTCTTTTGGAATTTGCACATTTGTAAGCATGTTTTATGCTTGTATGTCTGGCAGCGTTCTTTTTTTATCAGTGTGGTTTGTTTATGTATATGTATAGAAATTGTTATTACTCTCTTGTTTTTCGTAAGAACATAATAGCGTGGTAATAGTAATATTAATGATATGTCAAGTTTTTTTTTCATTTTATTATCACTATATGATTGATTTTAAAGCTCATTAAACACTTTTTGATATTTAGGCCAAAATTTTTATTCTTTTAAATAAAAATTATCATATTTATTTTAATAAGTCATATTTTTAAATTTTTAAATTCATTATATTGGCACCGATTTTTTCAACTCTTGTTGTTAATATTGTTTAATTGATAATCGGGAAATGCTGGTTTAGGAGTTGGATTATTTGTGCCAACGCCATTCATGTCTTCAATCACTAACTATTCTTTTGCCGGATAGTTCCAACGCATCAACAAGATAATTGGTCATTTGTTGATTATTACCATGTGTTGATGTAATTATGAGACATTCCTCACTCTTGGAAACAATTGGGTAATTGATTGATTGCACATAGATTCCGTGTTTACTCAATCAATAATTGGTCAGATGCAATTTTACAAGTTTCGGCCTCTTCACCAACCAATATAGGTACAATGTGAGAAGGGTTTGGTGCAACAGGAATATTCAATTGAGCAAGACATTCTTTCAACTAACGAGTATTAAATTGTAGCATTGCACGTTCTTTATTTGATTCTTTCAAATGTTGAATAGATGCAGCAATGAAAGTTAGCAATATACGAGACTTGCCGAAGCTGCAATATATTAGCAAATGTTTTACTAAGCGTTCCAGATATGATATCAATTTTATCTAGAACACTACCACTACCAGCATAAGGACAATGAACATTCAAGTCGAAATACAAATGTTTGGCAACGCCGCCACCACGAGGACCGTCAAGAACTTCATCCAAAAAAGTAATCACGTCATATTTCTTTGTCAAATCGCAAATTTTTTTCAATATGATCAATAGAACCAGACGTGGAATAAACATTTTCAAAAGCAATATTTTTGGTAGGTCGATATCACTGATTGATTTACCTCAAGATCTTTTAGATCGTTATGTTCGAAGATAAATTTTTTTGATCAGAATGTCTAATATCTTGTATCATTGATGCATGGCTTGAAGCAACAGAAAAGATTACACAGTCAGGAAGTTTTGAAGCAGAATGCTCAAGATGTTATAGTTTGCCGTATAACAAGGAGTGAAAATCAAAGCAGCAGGTTTATGATCGGCCAATCAAGCTTCTGAAAATTACAATCACCAGCACCAGCGTCATAACATCTCTATTTGTTGTTGTTATTGAAGGAGAAGAAATAATGGTGTATTCTGGAATAGGTAGAAACCCTGTGGTTCTTGAATCCGTGCAGTAAGTTTTACAAATTTTCTTTTTGTAATTTAATTTCGAAAGAAAAAACATGCAATAATAATGAATTTATTTCTCTTCTAAACGGTAACCTTTTCTTTCATGTTAGCAGTGCGAGCTTTTGAAAAATGATTAGTAAGACAATTAATATTATTAAAGTGCTTCATAGTCAAAGAATTTGGTATTAGTATAGTGAGTAATTGACATCATGTGCTGTTGTTGTTGAGGAAGATAATTAGGGTAATTGTAGGAATGGTGGAGAAATTATCAGTTATAGTTTTTGCCATATTATTTTTAGAGGAAAAGTGATTATGGCAATAATTACAGATTCTCAATATTGTTTATATTAATAACTATATATTAATATGCATTTGACTTAAAGAGTTGGCAATTACTAAAGTTAATTATGATCATTTATTAAGAAGGCAATTACTGCGAACAACTATATTATTAGTATTGTCAACAATGAAGCAGAGGAGACAATGGAAACTTGCTTCAAGGTGGCTTGTTCAATTTGGCCGAGGAATGAAAATAATTTGTTTTAAACAGTCAAAGCTTTATTCAAATTTGTGCCAAAGCAAAATTCGGCTTTCTAGTAAGATGATGAAGAGTTGCAATGTTAATGTTGCAAAGAAAAGGATGAATGGTTCTTATATAAAAACTTTAAGCCACTTGACCAATTATTATAATATTATTATTACTTTATTATGAACACTATACTTCAATTTTAAATACTACTCACGAGATATTCATTTCACCATAATATAAAATTTGGAATGAATTTGTTTTATTCGTTTGATTTATTTGGATTTAATTTATACATATTGAAAAAAAAAATTTTCTTTTAAAAATAGTCAATATAATACAAGCTATTGCTTTTTATCATGTTGTTGATCTATCTTTTCCTTGACAATAATAACAGTACAGTGACAATTATGGGTACAATAGTCACTAACTGATCCTAAAAGAGTTCTAATATGCATAAATATTTTGGGAATAATTAGCATTTAAATTGTTTGATGTTTTCAATTATTTGATTCATTGGATAAAAAAGAAAAATCTCCAACCTTTTCAATGCACCTAATCCACGACTACCCAATATTAAAGCCTCAGCATTCAATTCACCAACCTTACGTACAATCTCATCTCTTGCGTCTCCTCTCATTGCTATAGCTTTACATGCAAACTAATTTAAATAATTAAAAAGGTGATTATTATTATCACCATTGTCATTATTATTTACTAATCAACGCTAATTAGTTATTAATTACAAAATACCTACATTGTGACTCTTTAATTTAGCAGCATATTCTTGTAACAATGTATGACTATTAATACGATGCTAAATTTATTTAAAAATTAGAATAAAAATTTAAGAATTAATTGTCTATTTTTGTTATATTGATTTCTCTTAAATCCTAATTAGTTACTTGTTCTTCTAGGCTAGTTACAACTTCATTGAAATCCATATAGCTTGCACCAATTGCTGAATATGTCAAGGAAAAGAAATTAATCAATAAATTCATCAATTTAAGAAATATTTCCCATCTATAATTCGCATCTTCTTACCAGCATAAGGTACAGGAACTGTAGGAATTTGTCGAACATTAACTAACACAGCCTAATTAATTCAATTAATTAAACAACAAGAATGTTAATTGCAATTCCAATATTAAGCTTTCTAATTACAATCACACAAATAAATTAATTAAATATATACCAAATCAGTTTCTTTTCTCAAAAAGTTTTTTAAAGACCAATCGAATGCTTGCTGACTATTACTTGAGTGATCTAAAGCTATGACCACAATACGAGTAATAGGTGTTTGAGATTCTGAATCTTGAGCAGTGGTTAACTCTGTATCATCTGTGTGAAGTGGTTGTTGTTCTGATTGTGTTGTTTGAGTAGCCTGAGTAGAAGTTGTTGACATTTTTGTAAGTTAGAGTTTTTTTAGATTTAGAATTTTTAGAATTAATTGAGTTGTAAAAAATATTTCTTTCTTTTGGAGAATATAAAGAGTATATATAAAAAAATAATATTATATCAATGATGATGGGGTGATTTTCTCTGATCATTAAAAAAAATCATCCTACGTTGCTTGAAAAATTTTCACACCATTAATAATTATTTGGCCGATCATACTTCAATAGGGATAAACTTCACACAAACGTCATAGTCTTTAAAAAAAAAATTTTTTTTAGCTGTTTGTGCGTGTGTATGTTGCCATTAGTGCTGATCCATTTTTTTTAACATGGTACAATGCAAAAAGTAGATTAATTCATCATATCATTTTTAGAGATGATATCCTTAATAACAATTACTTTGGCTATATTAATATTAATATGCTCTTTACATTACCAAATCGTCCCAGGGTAAGTTTCATAATTAAAAAAGTCCACCAAATCGTCCCACTATATACAATAGGACAAAAATACTATAGAAATAGTCAAATAACAATAACTGATCTATGAACACACACACACACACACACACACACACACACACACACACACACACACACACACACACACACACACACACACACACAATTGTAAAAATGAACCAAAATTTAAGACCAAGTATTTTTAAATATATCTGACAACTTTTAGCTTCTTAATTGCCGATCCGTCTATGAATCGGAGCATTTTATTAAATCAATTTTGGGGCGATCATCATATACAGTGTGTAACAAAAATAATTGGAAAAAATAAATTGAATATTGTAGAATAACAACAAAACCGGAATGAATGGGCAATAGCTTATTTTAATCACTATTATCTATAGATTTATTTTATTATAAATTAATATGGTATTCTTTCACCATTTTTTTCAATAATCAATTCACAACAATCTTTCATTGAGTTGATTAAATTAATTAAAACATGATTTGGAATATTATCCCATTCCTCCTTCATAAAATGTTTTAATTCATCACAATTTTTTGGCATCCTTCTTTCAACATTTCGTTTAACAATACTCCAGAGGTTTTCAATGGGGTTAAGGTCAGGACTGTTTGATGGCCAGTCCATCAATTCAGAAACATTTTCGTTGAGAAATGCTCGGGTGATTCTACTAGTATGTTTAGGATCATTGTCCTGTTGAAATCACCAAACATCCCCTAGCATCTCATTAACCTCTGGAATGTGATTTCTAAGTATATCTACATAAAAATTCGCATCCATTATTTGACTAAAGCAAAAAAGACTCATTCGTCCATTTACACAAAATCCGCCCCATGCTAAAATTTTTGTACTGTCTTTTGGCATGTGACGAACTGGTTTCACACCTTTATGCCAACGTTCCACTGTATTCCTAAACAGTTGAAAGGCCGTTTCATCAGTGAATAATGTCTGTGACCAGTCATCATTCAAGTGTTTCCTTGCCCATTCAACTCTTTTCTCCTTGTGAACTGTTGTTAGCATAGGGGTGGCTTGTGGAAGGCTTTTTTTATAACCATGGTTTGATAAATGTCTCGAGATAGTCATGTGAGATACTTCTATTCCTTTTGTTGCTACTTTGTTCACCAATGATCTTACAGAAACTGAAGTATCTCTTCTAATAGTTTGTCCAATTAAACATGCAGTATCCGCAGTAATCTTCTTTGGTTGTCCATTACCACCTTTGTGCAAAATATTGCCTGTATTTTTAATTTTTTCAATGTTAAAATAGATAGTAGAAAGGGGAATATTTGTCAGAGTGTGAAGTTCTTTAGCAGATCTCACACACCTGGTTCCAGAAATGTAATAGAGTCTGACGTTGTCTTTCTTGGTCAGATGTGGACATTTTAAAGTCAATTTTTACAACAATTGAAAAATAATAAACAAAACAGATGATCTAAAAAGATAAATTTATTATTCTCATTTGTTTTGAAAGTTACGCGACACGAATTGGATTTAATTTGAGTACAAAACATGCATTTAAACAACAGGAATAATTTTCCAATTATTTTTGTTATAATAATATTATAATAACATCAATTTTTTTCTATATTATTTATTTATATTTTTTATTTTTATTCTAAAAATGATAATATATATAACATCATTTTTTTTCTATATTATTTATTTATATTTATTTATTATTTATCATGATATATATAAATAAATAAAATATGAAATAAAAAAATTAAAATAATAATACATATCAGCCGATTTGGCTTTTTGGACCCTTTTTTTCAAACCTTATATCTTATTGTGTCTCGACGTCACATGATGCGTGAACTGGTCAATAGAATGATAATTAACCCCCAAAAAATTTACTTTGCTAAAAAAACTATTTTACTATTAGATAGCCCGTCAAACCAATGGGTTTTTGCTAGTATAAAGTATTCATAACGTTATGATCATACGTACTGGATTTTGGGGTTCAAACAAAATCAGCGCATATGTGAGAGTATTTCGATTTTTTTGCAATACAACCCTTTTTCAATTACACAAAATTACGAATTTTAAAAAGAGACTTTTATTTGCGTTATATTATAAATTGAATAAAGAATACAAATGATTAAATAATCTCTTATTTTGTTATTGTTATTTAACGATTTAACAATTGATTAACGATATTTTGAAGCTGAACTGCTATAAGAATTCTTATTTGTGTATCCAAATTATTATTATTGTCTCCAAAG